ATGTTTGTTTCTTTGTCATTTCTAGCTGCAGGAAGACGTGCTAAAATCTGACGGTTGTGCGTGTTGCGTGAGCGCGGTTGAAAGACTGCCGTCCAGTGTGGTTCTGCTGCGTGGTGCCAGTATAATTTAAAAGTGAACTGGACAGGAGGAGGAAGACTTGGTGTTTTCTTCCAAGGACTGGGTTGGATGAAAACAGGAGGGGGAAACCTTTGGTTGAACCTCAGCATAAGGCTACAACATTGGGAAGGACTTGACCCGGTCCTCAGATCCAAACCTACCTCCCCCGTGGCCCCGACAGCCCGCTGGTGAGCGCAGCAGGCTATGCTAATCCATGCTGAAATCGGTGAGCGTTTGCCCTGTGCCTTGTGGTAGCAAATTGCGCCAGAAACTTGCCGGGGACCTGTTGAGTAACGTGTGGGACGTGGCAGTGCGTGGCTTTGTGTTGGGCAGCCCTGTGCCGCAAGGTTGTGGAGAGCGATGTGAGGAGCATCGTTCCTAAGCCTTGGAGGGGAGGTAGACCCACCGCTTCCACCCCTTCCGCGGTGGGAAGGGGCAGCCGACTACAAGTGCGTGTCTGCGTACATTTTCCAAGCGGCCCAGCGGCTTTTTTTAGTCAGATCTCTCGTGCTTACAGGAATCGTAGGTGATTTCCAACCCTTTCTCGTTGCCCCGCCGTTGCAGAAAAGAGGATGTTTTATTTTTTTAAACTTGGTTTTGCACACAGTCAAAAGCCTCAACCAAAAACTGCTGGTACAAGTAACACTAATGCTGCCAAAAATAATGTTTTCTAAGAGCGTTTAAAAAATCACACCCAAGAATGCTTCAAACAAACATAACCTTTTACTTTATCTACTACAGATTGTTCAAATAAGATCTCTTCAATATTGCTCCCAAACAAATATCTCATTTATATAAGTAGCTCCACTATCTAAAATATACTGTTGCGCAGGCAAATTTACTGATGTACTGAAGTCTTCAATTGCTTACCTGAACAGAGGCATCATTTAAAAAGCATTTATAGGTAGGAAAATGGAATATTATTAAGGCCTCTTCTCAACAGGATGGGTAGCTGCTTGATATGCTCCTGGAGACTTAGCAGTTTCTGGCCTGAACCTGCCCTTCAACAGGAGGAAGAAGCAAATGGACTTAGAGTTGCTCACCCTCAAGTTTTCCGAAAGGATTTTATCCCTTTTTGTTTCTGTTTACCAAAATGCACAGATCTTTTGAATTCTTCATCAAAGCACCGTAAACAAACCCTGGAAATTACTGAGGGTAAAGCTTCATTATCTCCCCAAAGAGAAATGTTCCTGTTCTAGGAAAGAGCTAATTTTTGGGATTCCTAGTGATTGTGATGGTGGTTACCAGGTGTTAGCCTTGGGATTAAAATAGTGATTATTAGATATTATTAGGATTGCACACTAATAATCAGTTGTGCAGACACTTGTGCTAAACAGGCTATTGCACTCAGGACATCAGCAGTGTCTTCATTATAGAAGTGATCAAATATTTTCTAAAATACTTTGACACTACCTGCAGAAAACTGTTTCCCAAACCTCAGAAGTGCTTTTCTTCTTCCGATTAGCAATTGCATGTATTGTAACCTTAGCCTGGCTTTTCAAAACTTTTTTGTGTGAGTATAATGAAAATATAACTGCCAAAAGGATGCTGAGAAGTATTTTGATTGCAGGGGATTCAAGATTTGTCTACATAGATGGAATTTTTTTAGGACCGTAATTGGTTCAAATTCTGCACAAAGTTAGATGAGATAGTGTATATTGTGCCAAGATTTGGGTATAAATGAATGCTTATCTAAAGTAGCAGTGCTTGCTATCTAGAATTGTTTGACTTTAATAAAAAAAGTCTTAACTGGAAGGGAAAATTAGAGCTTAGTTTTAAACATCTGCTCTTTTTCTGAGCTGCTCGCTCTCCGCGGTAGCCCTGATCATGGAGACTTAGAGAAGCAGTGTGTGCCCAGTTCTAATCTAGAAGATTTCACGGTGGGAATACCACTGCTGAGCATTTTAACAGTGGTAGTTAACCTATTGCAGGCTTGTTGGAAAGTTTGTTCATCTGCTTTATTTTCATAGCATTCCTTCGTAGCCTTTCACTTACTAAATCTACTTTAGAAACTTGACATTTGTGCAGAAACTCTTCCAACAGTAATAATGCCAGTATCATTGCGTAGCTCCCTGCTGTTAAGAGATGGAGCAAGATACTTTATTTCTGGTGCAGCCATGGACAGGTAGGGCTAATAATTCCAAAAACTGGTAAAAACCCTTTGCAGCTCCAGTGATGCTCTTCCCTTTACAGCACACAAGGATAGCGAGCAGCGCACACGTGTGGCGAGGGGTAGATGTACTGGTGGAAAGCAGTGAGCACGGTGCCACTTTCTGTGTCCATTTGCCCCCCCCAGGGCCATCCCCGCGGCTCTGGACTGCATGCTGCCCCAGCTGCTGCCTCACCTCCTCCCCACCAGCGCTGGGACAGCAGCTGCAGCCATGCAGGAGGGAGCAGCGGGGGCTGCCAGCTCTGGTCTTCGAGGGTTCCCCTCATCATCAGTGTGAAAGAGCCTCCACCGTAGAGGTTTAGCTCTCAGGAAAGCGAGGAACCGAGAGCTGCCCCTCTTCGCTCATTATTTATAGTTCAAAAGTAACAGTGATAGCCTCTGCACGAGCTGCTAGGGGTTCTCTGTGGAGTCGGTGTAGAAGAAGAGGTAATTGTCAAAATCGAGCAGAGGAAGCTTCTGCTACTTGGTATAAGCCCCTAGAAGTCTGCGTGGAGCCCAGGACCAATGCCGACATATGAAGGTGGCAGGGAAGTTCTTGGGAAACTGAATAAAATACATGGACTCTCCTGGCTCTGTTGAAGAAGGCTAGCATGTTTATACTGCCTAACAGTAGGATGTTATTAAAATGCAAATGAATAATATCAGAGAGACAGTGATCCTCTAGCTAATACTGGAAAAAACTTACTACTATGTTACATAGTTGTACATGTATAAACTGAAGTTAGAAACTATTCTTTTGATAGTAACTAAAACAACACTTTTTTGTGGTAGGACAAGAGAGTAATCCCTTTAATGTTTTTCACTGTGATATCAAGAAGCAAATTAGGAAACCCAACCAGAACTCTGGCAACTTATGAACATGCTGTTGATGTCCCATGTGGGACTCCACTTGATAAATCTCATTTATTTGACACTGAACCCTTAATAAGTATTCTTTGAGTGTGATTTCTTTTTTCACTTAGTTGTACACTCAGCTGAGAGGCTTTTTTCAGTCATTCAGATCATATTATGGTTATCTGGGCTTCTAATTCTATTAAACGCGTATTTTCAAAAAGGTCCCTATTTCTTTTCTGTTCTGTTTTGTCTCTGGTTAAAGTTATGACATTCCATTTTCAGTGCTGATAAAAGGAGCTATAACTGGAAATGAAAACATATGTTCTAGCTGACCTTGTGCCAAATGTGAAATAGGAAGTGATTGGACACAGCTGTAAGTCAAATCTTTTGAAATTAAGAAAAACCCTCACTTACAAATTGGAAATTCAGAGTTCAAAATATTCCTTGGACATCCATTCTAGTGCTGGACTAGGCACGAGGGTTCCTGAGAAATGCCTTACCAGCAACTGCATGAGAAAAAGGAAGTTTGCTGAGGCCTGACAGTAACATTGCAGTTTCTCGAGTCACGTGTTCTTTCCCCTTCTGAGATCCTGTTTACTTTTATATGGTTGCATATTCAGAACATGATGTTTTGAAGTGCTCGTCTGAGGTTTGGCTTAGTGGGGAAACTTACAGTTCCCATGTGCTTAATTGCTTTTCTTATTTACACTGCCAGAAAACTGAAACCAAAGGCTTGTCATTTTCTGAGAGCAAGACCCAGATGAAGCTTCTGCAGTTCCTTCCACGTGCCACTAACTGGAAAATGACAATTCTCAATGCTAGAGTTCGATTTCTTTTTTAAAAGAGGCATTGTTGACCTTTTTATGGTTTATGTATGCTTGTTAAAAATAGGATCATCGTCCTTATGTCATTCTTCATTTTATGAGCAAGTCTGATTCCCACCAATTGTTTTGTATTGGTTTAATATGGTGAACCCTTTGCTACAAGGATCTATAGCCTGTGTCAACTTTATAGGATGAGGGAAACGAGCAAAGTGGCCAAAATGAGAGAACATTTAAATAAAGCACATCTTCCACGTACCATAAAATAGTAGAAAAAACAGTGGCAGATGTATAGTGACTATTCAGGAATTTACTTACATCCTTTCTTCAGAAAATATTGTTGCAGGAAGGTGAACATGAGCTTCTGCATAGATTAAACACTGTCCAACAGTTTAAACAGAAAAACTTCCTTATGCTTTGGTTCCTAGAAATGCAGCCAAGCTTCTTTTGTTACTGGGTCATAAGCACACGAACAATTAGCTATATCTACTTTCTCTGAAGTTTATCAAGGGAGGTAACATCAGTAGTAAACTTTCAGGGAGGTAGTTGGGTGGATCAGTATCTTGTGGGATTTTTTTTTTTTAATGCATTTAAGATTAAAGGCATATGTAAGTAGTAAGAAGTAGCGATTTAGCTGGTTCTGCCTGGACTGTACACTCTCCACTCTGTTTCTAACCGGCAATTGCAAAACTACTAATCGGGAATCTTTGCTAGCCAGGCAGCGAGCCTGTGTTCAGCAGTGCATGCTCAGCTTACCGGAATGTAGTTTACTGATTAACAGCAAGTGTAAATTGTGTTGCCACATAATTTGTTATGCCTGTAATAAAATGGCACAGAATTGTACAGGGTCCTTTTTAGACTGAGGATTCTTCTTACGAATGTTTCCATTAATGTTAATTTTCAGAGATATCTTTTTGCTGAAGATATTAATGACTTGATCTAACTCAGATGTGTTATTTGTTTGCAGCTTCTCTCTCTTCTGGCTGTTATTTGTGAAGAAATTGTGGAGGATTGTATCAAGTGTGGTGGACTTTACTTCTTCGAATTCACAAGCTGCAGTGCACTTCTTTTGAGCCTCCTGATACTGTGTGTGTATTGTACAATTGCATATGAAACATTTGGAAAAGATAAAGTAGAGAGAGCGGTAAGGAAAAAAAATATTCTTTTAATCTTCACAAGTTATTTTTAACAAACTATTTGATGTAAGTGTTTAAAAACTACTGTGGAATAAAAAGACTCTGCAGAAGGAAAATTTTTTTCTTCAGTGTCTAAAGGCTAAAGTGAAGTTAATTATATTATTGTTAATAAATATAATATCAACGATATATTTTATATATATATATATTTATTATATTATTGCATAATATAATAAATAAACCCCCTCAACATCTTACAGTTTAATTCTGGTATCTGCATTTCTGGGGCTGGGCCTTTCTTGCAAAAAATTATTTCCTTTGCTATGACAGATGTCATATAACAGCATGTTATGAAAGAGCCTTTTTTTCCCTTCTCTCTGACAAAATAAATGGAAGATAATTTAAAAAATACTCATTTCTTCTCCTATCCTAGGAACAGGACTTTTTTTTTCCCCTTTCTAAGATTGTACGGGGTGGGGGGTGGAAGGAGAGGGAGAACCACAGTTCAGGTTTCATAAAATGCAAGACAAACGAAAATATTTCTTTTGTTAAATTCTTACATTGCAATAGAAACGGATTTTTCACTAAAAAAGCAAACTATTGCTACAAAAGCCTAATGGAATTTTGAACCTGAAGTGAACTGATGTAACATTTTAATTTTTCATGACAACAGGCATAACATAAATCATGTGGAGTCAATTATGATATTAATATTAATGTTCTTAATCCCTGATGTTAGTGATGTGGGCAAAGACATGGGAAACACACAGCCCTTTCTGGGAGCTAATAGCCCATAACAGTCAATATTTTAGGAACTTCCTGAGCCAGAGATACCCACAGACTCTCTTGTGTAGCTAGCTGGATTATTGATACCCATTTTTCTACTCTATTTTTGAACTCCTTTGTATTTTTGATTATCACTGTGTTCTGTGGCAGTGAATTCACAATGTAATTATGCTCTGTGGGTACCGGTATTTGTTTGCCATCTGATGATTTCACTAGGCAGTCTGTGTTATGGAGTGGGACAGTGATCTGTGGTTTAAATGATTTTAGATACCTGTCCTGTTCCCATCTACAGTTATTTCAAGTTGAAGAATCCTAGTATAGTAATCTCTCCTCATACAAAAGCTGTGTAGTATGTATGTGTGGTCCTCTGTTGCTTTTCTGCATGCTGAATTTTCCTGCATTTTTAACGTAAAATAGACAATATGAACCTTGACTTGTGTTTTCTCTGTAAATGCTTTACGAGATCTCTGTCCTGGCCTTTTAAGTCTCCATACATTTTAGTGTCATGAGCTGGTGCTGATTAGAGCACTATGATCTTGTTGGTGTGAATCAAACCTCCTGTCTACTACTATGTGCAAGATTTCAGGACTTGTGTGAAAGTCTTTTACACAAACTAACACTACTACATAATCACCATTTTATATATATAAAAATACATGTGCATGTGTGTGTATACACACACGCACGCATATATTAAGTATATAAGCACTTGAGAAAGCACAGTCTGCTACCAGCATGATACCTGGAACTTGCCTGTTTTCAATATCTATTTTTCTACTACATGTAGCCTACCTCCTTTTTGATACTAATCATACTCGTTACAGTTCATGCTTTTGTATTTCAGAAGATACAGTGGTGGCACTAAGCTGCTCTGTGTAGCTAGTGAGAATATTATACTGTCTTGTGAGTGTTCCTCCCTGTTTGTCTTCAGAGCAAACAGAAGGGTTTTTTACGTGAAGATACAGATAAGGGAGTATAGTAAGAGATTTCAATGAGCGCACTTACTTACGGGTTTCTGTTTGTCCTAGCATCACTCTAGATGCAAAGCTTTTGGGAAATAGACCTGAGCCTGAATTTGTTTGTGAAAGAAGTTAAATGGAATGAACAAAATATTGAAAGAAGGCAAACAAAGCGGAGTATGTAATACAGACTCTTTCAAATGATTGATATTTTCGATGTTGTTTGGTATGTAATTATAAAAAACGTTTTCTGAAGCTGCTGTTAGCATCAAAGTTTCCAAGTGCAAATTCACTGGCAGATTAACTTGGCTGCCGCTATGATGCTTGTTCTTTATCAAGTACAATTTTTTAACATCCTCTTTTTATACTTGCAGAATCTTTGGGCCATGCCAGTCATAGGTGGCGTTTTTCTGTTAGCTTCAATAGTGCTTGCTGCAACCAGTTCTGGATCTCATTTAGAAAAAGCTGCGTGTGTAAGTATTAAAATTGTATCATTTACTTTGTATTTATCTTGTTTCTTAACTTCTGTACCCTTTAAACCTTATTACACCTGCAGGCAAGAAACTAGGCAGGGAACAAAACTGAATGCATTGCCTGGACTGGGGTGTTTCAGGAGGAGCTAGCTATTTCAGAGCTTCTAGAAACTTACCTGAGGAAATCCAAAGAGCAGGTATCCCTCACAGTTGCTGGAAGCTCTGGTGTTAAAAGAGCAACAGGGCATGCACCTCCCAGAGAAAGCTAAGAGGCTCAGGGCAGGGCACTGAAGATGTACGGGGGTGCTGTGGAAGTCATAATTCCTCACTCATTATATATAATAATATTATAATAATAACCTTGGAATTGTGAATGTGTGAGTTTGAAAGAACAAATTTTGACATCATTCTTGAATGAAAAAAGATGAGTTAGAAAAGTAAAGAAAGCAAAGGAATTCTGTTCCTTAGTCAGCATGAGCTCTTACAGCTAGAGTTGCACACTTCTGTATAGTCATCTTCTGTAATGTTGATATATTCAAATCTAATGGTTTGAGTATAAAATCTTTTGTTTCTTTTTCTGGAGCTGGAAAAATGAAAAACTAATAGTCATTTAAGACTTCATAGCATAGAATTGCTTTGGGGCAAATTAGGTGTGTAAATTTTATTAACAAGTTAGTGTAAATACATATGTTAACAGCTCCTTGCAAGCAAGGAAGTAAAACCCATCCTCCTCGTCACAATCTTGCCATGCCTAATACTGAAATTTGTCACTAACAAAATGTTCTTTCATCCCTACTTGGTGACCCAGTAGGGACTTGCTTAGCCCTGCGGATCCTATCTTGCTTCTCCTCCCACATGTTAGTCTTCTTCGGCTAGTACCTTTAATCAGTAGGTATCTCTTGGATAAATTTTCTGCTATACCACTGACTCCATACTTCGTTAATAACTATTTTTGGCAATTAAACTAATATTTCTAATGTTAATGACTGTTCAGGCTATATTGTAAGATTCACACTTGATTGAAAGAATGAGAACTGTGAAAACTTTTGCATAAATGTACTGCAGTTACGGTTTCCGACCTGTTTCTAGCTCAAATGGAACCACCGATTCAAGGACACCTGGAAACATAATACATGGGAGATATTAACTTACATAAAAAGTTCAGTAAATTTCCCCATCCAGTGTTCGAATGCCATTAATGTTTACAGATTTTAAATCCCATGTTCCTTTCACTTTCCACAGGCATTTGGATTTCTTGCAAGTGGTGCATTTTTAGCTGAAGTGATTATGAATTATCTGAATAGCCGGAAACAAGACACCGAAAATCGTTCTGAAAATCCTAGCAACACTCAGACTGCCACAGAAAATCAGCCACTGAATAAATAAAGCTAAACGTTGCGATTTTTTTTTAATTGAGCAAACTAAAATGAGGTTTTAGTGCACTGTAAATAACTTCTATCTCTTCCTTCTAATCAATTTTGCAAGCATTGCTCACGACAAGTTTTTATAGATCCTTAGGTCTAGTAATGGCATCTTGGCATCATGATCTATTTAATTTTGGAGGTAACTGGTCCTGCTTAGTAACTGGCGTATACTAAAAAATTTTGTGTCTAATTAGAATAACTTAAGGACAACAGCGTGCTGGTTTGATTTTGGTAGGAATGATTAATAAAGGGTAATTTATAAATTCTGAGTTATGTCCTAAAGATATTTTCTATATAAATGGACCAGATACTTCTGTTACTAATTATAATTTAGTACAGCAGAGTTCATTTTTTTTTTACTTACAGATCAAACTGTGAATGTAAAAGGGATACCTAACTGCAGCCTTACAGAAATGCTTATCCTTACATAAGGGTTTTTGTTTTCTTTTTACTACTCTGTACAATTCTATGTGTGGAGCTCAGTTTAATGAAATGGTGAGTGTAGTATTTTTATGGGGGATATTTTAATGCTATATTAAAGAAACAGTTCTGCATCCCATGGTTGCCGATATTTAAAAGTGTATGCTAGATTCTCCTTTTGGATTGTTGCAAAAGCAACAAAAGGTGCAGGATAAGCTTGAAAAGCTAACTCTGAAAGGAAAAGGTTGAAGGACAGATATTTTCAAAAATTAACCTAAAAAGTAGCAATTTGCAATATCAGTGGGAGAAACATAACAGCACATTAGGACTACCCTGCTCAATATCACTTTCGGGGTTAAAGCCAGCTGCAGTTTGTTTATGCAGAGTTAATGGTGACTTTTGCCAGAGGGAGTTCTGCCAGAATGGTTATGGACTTCACCATTTTCTTCGCCTATAAATATGCCACTGGTTTGAATCTTCTTGCTACTTGCTAGGTCAGTTGGTGAACGGATGAATAAATAAGCACTTGTGTCATTGACTTGTCTGAAAAGCAACAGGCCGCAGGACTGCAAGAGAAACTACTGATGCAACATACCCGACAAGTGATGGAGTTCAGACCAGATATTGACGGCCATAGAAGAAGGGAAGTGGTGAAAAGACGTTTTTCAGACGTCTGAGGGAGAAACAAAACTGCTAGACTTTGTTTAGAGGAAAGCCGAAAAGTAGGGCAATTGCTGTAAAGCAAGGGATGTTCAAAATACCAATGCAAATGAGAAAAATCTGATTATGCAAAAACAGTTATTGTCCCAGTTCTCATGACATTTGTCCTGTCTTCCAGGCATTAACTCCATTTCATCAGTACCCTAGTCTGACAGATTTACAGTCCTGTAACCTGTTATGGCAGCACTGAGCCTAAGCCCTCCAGAATTTGCCCGAGTGTGCTATATTTGGAAAAGGATGAGGAAGTTGTTGTAAGACAAAGCCTGTAAAGGAAGGTCAGAGTCTTTTCAGTACTACTGCTTTCTGATGAACATGGTGATGTTTGTGGTGTTCTCTCTTTATGCTCTGCGTCTTTAATTCCAACACTACACTTTGCTTGGGGGATTTGAGTTTGACAGTTTGTGCGAAGCATCAAGTTTAAGCTGCAGCTTGGTTTCAGAGTCATCCATGAAATATTTCCTTTCCTTCAAGGAATTTCCTGCTTTATGAAGAAAAAATTCATATTTTCATATTTATTAGTTTTCTCATATTTATTAGTGTCTGTTTGCGTTAAAAGCTGATCTCAGTGGAGGTGTGTGGAGCTTGCTGTAGCTGTCTGTCTCTGAAAACTGTAGGTAGATGAAAGATATATTTTGTTTACAAGCAATGTTGCTGGTGATATGAACTTCCCAAAATGAAAATTCTCTGTTACGGTTCTAATTTCTTACTTTTGGGTTTGTGTCCATATCTATAATTAACATTTTTGGATTTTTTTCAGCTTATTGCCCAGGATACTACTGGATTTGTGTTCATATCAAACTGGCTGTAGGCTCTAGGTCTTGATACGTAATTAAAAGCTATAAATACAGCAATAAGACTGTGCTGCTGATATTTATTAATAACACAGCATGAAGGCAGGACTTTTATCCTCAGTTAACTTTTCCATTAAACTTTAATTTTTCTCATTTTGCAAATACATGGAGATACGGTTCTCTGTAATTGTCCTATAGACTTCACCCTGCCCACGTGCTGTTTTCAGTTTCCATTCCTGAATTGTTGGTATTGAAAGAAGTCTGTAAAGTCATTTCTTAGCCTTGGCCTCCCTGTTTATGTGATACCTACCACTGATGCTTTACAAGTGAAGAAACTGCAATGCAGAACAAGTTATTTTATGAAAAGGTGCCACAAGAAGTTGGTGTTAGAAGTGACTGTAACTGAGTTTTCCTGACTCCTGCGTCCTGCGTGCTAGGCCTTTTACAATGGAAATACTGCCAGCCTTTGCAGAATGGCTTCATGGATTCTCCTGTTACAGACATGGTGGCATCCTTGGCTCGTTTCAGGTTGTTCCTTGGGTGATTTTTTTTTTGATGCGTTGTCCATTTTAGTTGTGATTGTTCCATGTAGTTTCCCATTCTCTGACCCACTGATGTAAATGTGGATGTAAGGATCAAATTCAGTCTCTAACCAAAAGGGATGCAAACGTTGCCATCAGCTAATGAAAGCAGCATGGATAGTTGTTTGGAAACTGGTTAGTTCTGCTTTCCCATATGCAAGAGGAGTTTGCTAGTAGAAGTCCTGCTATTCTTAAAATATATAGTGCTGCATCCCAGATACTACCTAGCTGGCACTAATCTGTCATGCAGCAGTGAAATGCAGTTAGCAAACCAGCCCCACGTTGGTTATAGGTATAAGGTAATTGCTAACTAGTTGCTACCAAAGCAGCCGTTGCCTAACAAAGCAGTTTCTCTGTGGTGGTATTAATTATTATGGTATTAATACCAGGCTTATGAGCATGAGGATTTTCATTTAAAAACTGTTGAGGAGCAGGTCTCCTGGTGTGTATGCTGTTCGCTGCTTCCAGGAGGCAGTTCCCTTACCTGCTTTATCAGCTTCCTAAGGTGAAAGGGGAGGTGCGTGTCCCCCCCGAGCATCTCTGCCCTCACATGCTAGGGGGGCGAGTGTAACGGTTGTCTCCTGCCACTAGAAATGCCCCTTTCATGCTTCAGATGTCAGATCCAGGTTTTGGATGTTTTAATTAGACTGATCCCAGAGGATAGAGTCGGAGCTGGATTAAACATGTGGTTTTTGTAGGAGCTCTGCGCATGTGGCTAGTTGTCTCTCCCCTCCTGTGCTCTGTCAGCAAAGAAGCGCGCGTTTCCCAACCTGCTTCTGATGAAATCAGCCTGCTTTATTTAAACCAGCTATTTAAATTGCTTAAGTTATCTATCTTGGCTGGTTTAGACTGAAGTGGATTACAGTTTGTTCGGGAGAGCGGTGGGAAGTCTGGCAGAGGGGCAGTAATAAGCAACCCTCTCTTACATTTCCCCTCCTGTTTGCAAGTAAACATCTGTGCACAATCTTAACCAGTAGTAAACACCCATGGAAGGAAGCAATTTGCACAGTCAGTGTACGTATGGATTGCCTTCTCCCTTCTTTACCACGGTGGTTG